GAGAGAGAGAGAGAGAGAGAGAGAGAGAGAGAGAGACAGAGCATGTAATAGGAGGGAAATGGGAAAGCAATAGATTATCCTCAAGACTTTACTTAATATGGCATGGAATACACTGGGAAATCTTTTTGGGTAGTTGACTGGTGTGGGGCACCTACCCAACTCATGTAGGGATGGGAAGTGTGGAGCTAGAACTATTCAAAAGAAAGACATACCCATTAGTTCATTATATGAAATAAACCCATCTACTTATGATATAATATCATTACCTCATTCTGAATCCCTTTTCAAATGGGCAAAGACTGGGAAACTGAACATAATCCTTAATAGTGCCAAATATGAAACTACTTTACTGAAACTAACATTCTTTAACATTCATTTGACTACTATCTATTACCATGTGTTTTTTCTATCTATACACTTTGTTTCTTTGGGAATGGCAGACCTGTCTCTGATTTCCCATCCAAAGGTATTTCAATAATTCAGTCAACCCTTAAGTAAGGAAATCCATTAACTCTAGTATGCCCAATCTCTGGAAAGTAAAAAATGGCATCACTTCTTGCCCTCTGGAAGAATCCTATTTGCAAAGGCTCTCCAATCTATTCAGTTGACACTTCATAATTGTTTACTTGTATTTTGCATTTCCGACATTTAAATATCATATTAAATAAATTTTGAATTTATTTTTTTTTGTTTGCATTCAACACTATATAATTTTCTGTCCAAGAGATTTGGCATATTGGAGTATGCCAGAGTCCAGGATCAGTTGCCACTTTTTCCTTTCTGTTACTGCTACTGTTCCGTATAGTCATCAAATATTTGTTATGTTTTGGTCACTCTTTCATCATAAGCAAAATAAAACCAAAGGGAGAAAATCATATTGAGATAATAGTTTCTCAGAGTATTTCAACTTAAACAAGTATATGTTAAGTATAATATGCCAAAAAAAACCTGCGAGAAATTTCTTCACTTTGTGTGTTAATTTTAAGACAATTTACTTTCTCTTAAATGTGCATTATGATTTTATATCAGGAAGTTATTGTTAGCTATGGTAACTGCCTATTTTCTACCTGGTCTTGTGGCTTCTTGTAGTATCAGACAAAGTAGGAGTTTATCCGCATTACAAACTACTATTCTTAAGAGAAATATCTAACTTAATATCCACAAGTTTTGCATTCATTTACTTATTGTATCTGAAATATATATTCTCTTTCCATTTTTCCATGTAACAATACTGAAATATCTTATGCACATTTCACACAAAGAGATGTGTAAATGTGTAACATTAAAAACACTGATGCAAACCTTGACCAAAAACACTCATCTCACTGGTTCTACAAGATCTATAGTAGTACTTTCTCAAAGTTAGAATAGATATATCACCAAAATAAGCAATAAAAGAAAATAATGTAAAACAATTGCAGATTGTTATGAATAAACAATACATTTTTACTTACTGTCAAAAGATGCGAAGAGCTCTGGCATGTCATCCATACTGACCATACTCTTCAAGCCATATTTTGGGCCTTCTTTGTATTGCGCTCTTTTTTGAGACTGAGGGTTGGCAACCTGTGTCCCCATTTGCTGTTCTTGTTGCACATGTGTGGGAACATTACTTGCCAGTGCAGCCTGAGGTATTGGAGGTGCTGCTGACTGTGTTTGCTGGACAGAAACCGATAATGGCTGTTGGCTCCCTGGCCGTCTTGCAAAATCAAGAGATGGACGCCTAGATGGAAGGGAGAAAAAATATATGTATATTTCAAAGAAAGAAAAAAAAAATGAATGGGGAAAAATAAACAAACAAAAAAAAGAATAACAGGGAGTGAGTGAGTCAGACAAAGAGAGAGAGAGAAAATATATATAGAAAGAGAGATGAAAAGGAAATAAACAGAGAGAGAAAAAGTATATAAAAAGAAAGAGAGACAGAGAGAAAGAGAGAACATTCCAAATGAATACCTAAATGAAGATAGAAAAGAAAAGAAAAAAAGGAAAGGAAAGAAAAGAAAAGAAAAGAAAAGAAAAGAAAAGAAAAGAAAAGAAGAAGAAGAAGAAGAAGAAGCAGAAGA